CATAGAGTATGCGTTCAAAACCGATATACCCCTCCGGTTTGGACCTTTTCCTTCAGCCCCAGAGCAAGAACAACATGGAAATGACGAGGACGAAGGGTCAGGAGATGGAATAACGGTCGGTCCAGGTCAGAATTTCTGTTTCAGGTTGTCGTCGACTGCTCCGTTCAGCCTGTTCTGGACCTTTATTCGTTTGAGCCTCCCTCCCAAGAAACGATTAAGGCTTCTTTTTCCGCTTTCCCTCAAGTCACGAGACGACGATAGAGGAAAAAAGGGCTTTACGCCGGTTAGATGGAGAGAAGACGAAGATACGACACTAGATTGCTGTAGCATCGCTTGGAATGTGGGTGGAAACAGATTGATTTTCGCACGGGGTACATAGAAGGAGGGGATCACATCGGCCGATAGGGGTTGGACTCCACTGGGCTTTATATTCCTGTCTACTTTCTTCCTCTTCATCCATTTCTCCGCTGTATTGACCTTCTAATTACTAATAGCGCATTTGCTAGCAAGTGCCTACTGCAATCGGACTTTCTGGCATTGTCCGAGCTAAGCGGGTACCATCCTCGAGGCGGCGGCGCTTTTATTGCACCTACTTTCCGGTCTTCTACCGCCGTTGTCTTGTTACATGCTCGGCAACAGGGCCTTTCATCTCTGATGTTTGTTTGGCTTCTCGCAATCTGCTGCATCCTGTAAGATGGCACAAGTTTGGCTGAGAGAAGTGAGGTCGATCTCAAAACTGAAAGGGGGAAGGAAGGGAGGATTAAGCTGGCCGAGGAGTTGTTGGCTATTTCTTGACTTCCGGCTTGGGGATAAGGCTGGCGCATTTAAGGGGTTTGGGAAAAGAAAATATGCACATCTAGCTTCATCATTGCATCAAGAATTTGAAACAAGAAAAGAAGCTCTTGAGTCTGATTCACTGCATATGCATGCTGTGTAATTATTTTCGCCCGTGCTTGAAGTCAAGCTATCAGAAGTACCATTGTTTGCTCTCAACGTCAGAGCTGCTGTATCTACGCCCAAGGGGAAAAAAGCAACGAAGCAAATATCACACCCAGACGCCTTGCCATGCCCCATACCTTACTTAACCATCACCGCAGCCCCGTCTTCGTGACCAAAGAAGCATACGAAAAAAAAAGAGAAAGCCCACTTGAGCTATCCGGTTTGCAAAAGATCTAAAGATAACTCCCGTACGTCCCGTCCCATTCCCCCGTTCTTACCTTTCCCCTCTAGTCCAAACATGTTGAAACCCTCCCTATTGCGGATGAGCTCCTTTCAAGGCAAGCGCCATAAGCCCCAACCGGGGCGCCTTTCCATTATCTCCCACCAACTAACCTGCGGAACGGAAATTGTGACAGACTATGACATTTCCATCCCGTCGTCATCGTCGACCTCGCTCTCGAGCATCTGGGTCTGGTTGCTGCTAACGCTCTCCTTGCGGCGCGAGGCGGCCGAACCGCCGTCGCCAAAGCGGCCGTCGATGCCGCCGACCATCATGTCGAGCTCGTCGCCGCCGACGACGCGGCCCTCCATGTCAATCTCCTGGGAGAGCTCGACGAGGGCGGTGCGGGGCAGGCGCTGGAAGCCGGCGGTGCGCACGACGCGCCCCCAGTGCGTCATGCAGAACCCCGCGGCGCGCTTGCGCAGCCACTCCTCGCCCGCAAGGCCCGCGCAGTACCAGATGATGCAGGCGTGGTCCACGTCGAGCTCCTTGCTCAGGCGGTTGACACACAGCAGGCGCAGGTGTGGTATGTTGTAGATGTTGGACATGACGAGCAGGCCGGCCACGTCCGAGAGGTCGGCCATGGCATTGTCGGCGTCGTCGTCGGCCGGGTCGATACGGTCCGTGTAAAGGTAGTACAGGAAGGCCTTGACGACGCTGTAGGGTTCGGGGATGTGCATCTTCTTGGTGTGGAACTCGGCCATTTGGCTGGACCACAGCCGCGCAAAATGTGGCCAGCGGGCTTGGAGAATGAGGCGGTGGACATGAATTGGGGCTGACGTTGGGGTGTCCGCAGCTAGCCAGGTCTGACCGCCGTCGCTCGGCTCAGGAGCATGCACAAGCGCCGAACCCATGATTTCGTCGTCGTCATAGTCGCGCGAAAGAGCAGTGACAATAAAATCTGTACCACTCCCGGTTTCTGGAGGCTGGTTAAAAAGCTTGGCGAGATCTGCTCCCAACCCCTTTGATGGCTGCTCTGTAAGGCGGATTCGTGAAGGGCGGGCCATGTCTGTTCGAGGCTCGGACGACAAGTTGTTACCCAGAAAGCCGTATCTTCGCAAGTCGATTTCCATGATGTCGGAGAGATATTCCTCGAGGCCATTAGCACCGAGCTCAATCGCTCCAGCCTCTGTAGGACAACCTAATAGCCACGCCTTGGTCCCATCTTCATTCATGGTGCAATAATGCCAGCGGTACCCAGACTTGAAGATTTCACGCCCTTCAGCAAGCTTCTGCCACCTGAGAGTCCCCAGATCTAGCGCAGAGAGCGAACAGTCTTTGGAAGAGATGGTTGCGGCAGGTGTCACAAAGTCGAGGAGGGTCCCGGAGGAATAGACATGGAAGTGGATGCCCTGCCCCTGGGACGGCACATTTGTGCCGCTCACGAACTTCAGCGCAGAGACTGCGCCAGGCGCAGGAGGAGCATACGACTTGAGGTGGAAAGAAGGGGGATTGACTTGAGGAGTCCTGGAATTGGCGGCATAGCCAGAGGACCCGACAACGGAAGACTGGGCTGCTTGATAAGCCGGTCGAGGCGACACGGCACTTCTCGCCAAACCGGAGCGGTCGAGAGAGCCGATTTGCGGGGGGGATTCAAATGCCGGGCTGCCCTTGAGATCAAGCCACCACAGGTCACTAACCTTGTCCATGTCTTCGCTCAAGCCCCCAAACACCCAGACTCTGTCACCCCAAATATACGCAGAGTGGTCGAATCTGCCGACAAAGCGCCACGCCCGCGACCATGTAAATGTCTTCAAGTCTAGATAGCAGATATCGTCGAGGACGTAGTTGTCGTGGCCCGTGATGCCGCCGACGATGAAGAGTTTGTCTTCGTGTAGGACAGCTGCGTGCCGCGCACGACCCTTTGGAATTGGCCCAGACACCTGTGGCTGGGTCCAGTGAGCCGTCTTGAGGTCGAAGATGATGAGATCAGCGAGATAGGTCCGGTGTTCGTTCTCGCCACCAAAGACTAAGAGCTTATCTCCCTTATATAGGGTTGCAGTGTGGCCTAGGGAATACTTTTTGTCAGCTAGGACAGGCAGGCGGGAAGGGAACCCTGAAGGAAGAGCCCCTTACCCATTCGGACTCCGGGGATATCGCCGTAGTTATCGACCAAGCTCCATTGATGGCTGACGAGATCCAGGCGCAGCACATGGTTGTAGACCTCGTCAGTGTACTGATCAAAACCGCCAAAAGCGTAGATCTGGTTATTCCCACAGTATGTGACCGAGGCATTGACGAGGCAGGCGGGGCGCTGGCCAAGGGTGCGCGTCACCTTTGGGCGGTAGCCGTCGACGGGACCACGATTCTTGAGCGGCGAATTGGGCATGACATAGGTGTTGCTGGAGGAAGTAGCGGAGGCAGGCGTCAAGGCAGAAGCATGGGGTGTGATGCCGTCGGTAGAGGTTTGAGCGGGTCCACTGGAGATGGCTGCGGGAGTCGACGGGTGATGCTGCGCCATGGCTTGAAAACGGGGGCAATCTGCAGACTCTTTGACGACGACGGCTACCAAGTTAGCCAGCCAGACATTCAAGCCGGATTTACCCTAGCACGGTAAACCAATTTGCAAAGTCGACTGGAGGCGAAGGTAAAGAACAAGGCAGAGCCACAAGGCTGCTATGTCGCATGCGAAGTTGCCCCGCCGGTTAGTGTGTGGTGGACGATCACCAATGTCTTGCAGAACGATTCTGGCAATCAGTGGGTTCCTTCTCCCCTGCTGTAAAAAGAGTGGGGCAACTCGCACGCCAATGACTGCCTCAGGCTGAAGCGTGTGGGGCGGCGCTTGGCGACGCAGCAGGTCGCAGGCTGGGAAGCGTTGTCCCGACAACCAATGTAAACATTTAAATGACCTCTTTCCCTCCCTATCGACTGTGTCAAACTCCTCCTTCCAACACCACTTCCTCATACCCCGCGCGTGAAAGTCAGTTGCAGACTCCAACCTTGCGGTTCTCTCTCCACTTCTATCACGCTCTCACAAATCATCTCAAGCCTTATCAACCAGCCTTGCAAGCATATCGCTGTTCTTCGGAACACCATTCACCGTTATATCAGAGATAGACGACAGAAAAATACTAATCAATCCAAGAACCATTAGCTTGGAGATCTTGGAGCTTGCTCAATTCATTGGAGCTTCCTCCATCCCCCTCTCCCACCACACCGGGCTTCATCATCTGAAGTTATAAGATACAGCAGCAGCACTGTCCACAGCATGGCTACCGCATCAGTATCGACACCCCTCAAGTCCCATGCCGGACTTTTCTCATCCCGTACCGCTGGCGGGCGGATGCCATTGACTCCTTCTCCTCGACAACGCTCTGCTCAGGGAAACACCAACTCATCCCCGTTCACGCCCGAAAAGTTGAGCGGTGACAGTCAGCGAGCATCTTCAAAGTCGGTCTACGGTGGCAATCTTTCATCACATTTTGCCAAGGCCTCGTCCAAGGGTCACCGGGACTCGCCCAAGTCGAATATCGCTCGCAGTGTCTCGACGCCGCGCAAGGTTCTGGAGCTGGGCGTGTCGGATTTCACTCTCACCGGTACTGGCGCCCACAATAAGACGCCGGTGAGTCCCAAGATCAAGAAGGCAGCGGCACCTCTGAGGCAGAAGTCAACCAAGACAACCCTGACATACAACGCCGATCGCTTTATTCCAAACCGCGGCGCCAGTTCCGCCATTGCCAACGTCGGGTCCGGGAAGCTCGACATGCAGGAGAAGCAGCGCCCGAGGAGTGGAAACGGCGAGGCGTCTTCGATCCTCGCAAGCGCCACTGATGATGCAATTGCCGCTCTTGAGGGCCTCAACATCGATGACGAGGAACCCGCTTCCTACTCGCGACCCTCACCCAGCTCGGCTGCATACCAGGACTCGTTAGCCAGTGCATGCGGTGTCAATGTCAACACTCGCATCCTCCAATTCAAGCCCGCACCCCCAGAGTCATCCAAGCCAATCGACCTGCGACAGCAGTACAACCGCCCGCTGAAGCCCGCCAACGCGAGCTCGGCCCAGTTCAGGCGCCGCATTGCGACGGCACCGGAGCGCGTCCTGGATGCGCCTGGTCTTATTGATGACTACTACCTCAATCTCCTCGACTGGAGCTCGGGCAACCAGGTTGCCATAGGTTTGGAACGAAACGTCTACGTCTGGTCGGCGGATGAAGGCTCAGTGAGCTGCCTCCTCGAGACAAGCCCGGACACATATGTCAGCAGTGTCAAGTGGTCGGGCGATGGTGCGTACGTGGGCGTCGGTCTCGGTACTGGCGAGGTGCAGATCTGGGACGTGGCCGAGGGCGTCAAGATCCGCAGCATGTTTGGCCACGACACGCGGGTTGGTGTCATGGGCTGGAACAAGCACCTCCTGTCGACCGGTGCGAGAAGCGGGCTTGTGTTCAACCATGATGTCCGTATTGCCGAGCATAAGGTGGCAGAGCTCGTCTCGCACACATCAGAGGTCTGCGGCCTTGAATGGCGGTCGGACGGTGCGCAGCTCGCTACTGGCGGGAATGACAATCTCGTGTCCATCTGGGATGCCCGCTCCCTGGCCGTCCCCAAGTTCACAAAGACCAACCATAAGGCGGCCGTCAAGGCTCTGGCATGGTGCCCATGGAATATGAACCTGCTCGCCACCGGAGGCGGTTCCTACGACCGGCACATCCATTTCTGGAACACGACATCTGGGGCTCGTGTCAACAGCATCGACACCGGCTCGCAGGTGACCAGCCTCCGCTGGAGTACCCACTACCGCGAGATTGTCAGCTCCAGCGGCTTCCCTGACAACTCGCTGAGCATCTGGAGCTATCCCACTCTAGTCCGCAACGTCGAAATCCCCGCGCACGAGAGCCGAGTGCTACACAGCTGCCTCAGCCCGGACGGTCAGATGCTGGCCACAGCAGGTGAGCACCTAATTTTTGAGCGTTGTTTCAGGGGACCAGCGACACCTTGGCTAACGCGCAGGACAGCTGCCGACGAAAGCCTGAAGTTCTGGAAGATCTTTGAGAAAAAGGCTGGTGCTGGCGCTGGTGTAGCTGGCGCCGGCGCGTCTGGCAAGGCCAGCTTGGACAAGCAGATGACGATCCGCTAGACCGCTGGACGTTTTCCTCGGCACCTCAGTCCGCGACCAGTCGTATGTGAAGGTCAATTGTTCAACCGATGGTAGGTATACACGGTTCCCTTTGGGATTCCTGCATCTCAAGAGCTTTCAGCGCGGCGTTGGGAGTTTGTTCATAGAACTTCGCCTGGCAAGGCAACCGAGACACTGTCTGTCACACGCAGGAATGAATGAAATCGGCTGGGTCATGGCTTATGGAACTCCCGGGAGGTTTCATTGTCAGTCATAGGTCGGATCAGGTCAGACCGGTATTGTAATGTAGTATAGTTGTCATGATAGGAATGGAGGTGAAGGCGGCGTTTGTTCATGTATTTGATGTATGTCATGATGCTGCGTGGTGGGCATATCCAGCCGTAGTTTACTGCACATCTATCCGTAAATCGTAAGCCATCAAGGCATTGCGTTCATTTTCTTCTTCTCTGACTTAACATCGACCTTATTGCAAATCGTCAAAATGCGGCAGGTTCCATCATTGTGAATGCAAATGCCCACCGAGTTCTAGTTGATAGTTGAGAACGCATCTTGTTTCGAGTGCGCTGGAATTACAGCGGTGAATCCTATGATTTTGGCGGGCTGTGGCAGTGTGGATGAAGTGTTAGAAGGCCGGTAAGCGGGCGCAGCTGACTAATCAAGCCAGGCGAATGTCAAAGGAAGTCTGGCGACCTGCTGCAACTTGCCCAATCCAACTCTCGCAGGCGAAACAGCATCTCCCCAAATCTGCGGCGCAACACCGCAAAATCCTAGCACCACTCGCTGTCATCTAGAAATATAAAGTCACAAGCAGTTAGCATATTTGGAGCAACCTGAAAATCGAGCGCAGAGATCTAAACGCTGCAACGGCGACGCCAAGAGGGTCCGCATTTCACCTCGCCTCCACCACCCTCATTCCCCGAACCGCGGTCGAACCCTCGCCGGGTCGCTTGCGCAAGGGAACTCGGTTACTTTGTCTGCTGCTCACACGTAGAGCCGAGTGACGACCGGTTACCGTCGTTTGAGCGAGGCAACGAGGCGACGAGGCGACAGGCGTAGCGGCCCGAAGGAAGATTCGCTTGCAGGAAGTTGCGACACGGTTCACTCCTACAACCTCCGTGGCAGAACAGCTCCGACCGCATCGGTCCATCATTATGTCGAACGCGAGTGTCGGACCAGTCTACGACTCCATTATCCAAGATGTCATCAGTGCCGTGAGGGTCGACTTCGAGGAGAGCGGCGTGGATGATGGTGTGCTGGAGGACCTGAAAAAGGTGAGTCGACGATCCCGTCTCTCCGTCTTACCGCTACCTTGTCCAACCGCCGTTTGCATCCGGTCAACCCCTTGCATGTCATAAAAAGTCATTTCTATCGCCGGGCTGAGTCGGCGATCTATAATCTGAAAACGGCCAGTCGTCGGCTTTTACTGTGGTCGAACGGCGTGATGAACATCAATGTTCCCAGGCTGGTGGATGCTGCTTGCCCCTGGCACCCGGGCGAGAGGGGCAGAGAGCGGCAGCCCTGGAGTGGGCGACACAGCACTTTTGGGTCTCCTTTTAAGTTGGCCCCTGCTGCTGCAGAACTCGCCAAATCAGACCCCGGCTACTTCCGATTGGGCCGTTCATTCCCCTTGTATCACGTGTCCCTTAACAACCCCGAGAATGACCATGATCCTCAATGAAGTGATGCCGAATATCTGCTGACCGACCGATGCCAGAGATGGCAAATGAAACTTTCGCAACTCAATGTGGCCCAGTTTCCTTGGGACCCTAAGCCGGAGCCGCAACAATCTACTCCGGCGCCCGCCGCTGCTCAGCCTGCACCAGCTCCTGTGCCGAACTACAACCAGGCCGTGAGCGCCCAGGCCGCACCGCCACCTCTCTCGCTCCCCAACTCGCATGCGCAGAACCCTAATGGCGTAGCTGTCAAACAAGAACCGGGCCTTGTCAAGGCTGAGCCCGGCATCAAGCAGGAACCGGGGTCAGGCAGCGCTGGGTCCGCGCCAATTCACCCGGCGTACAACCCTGCAGCTGCCGCTCGTGGAACTGCCGCTCAGCGTGCTGCCCAAGCCTTGGAGAACCAGTATGGGCAGCGCGCTGCCGCATCCATCAACGCCATTCACAACGGCATGGCTTCGCAGATAAATCCGCCCCCTCAAGCGCAGCAGGGCCAGCGGCCGGGACAAGCGCCGCAACATCTAAGCCCCCAGCAACAGTATCGGCAGGGAGTGGTTATGCAGCAGAGGATGCAGCCCCAAGTTCCCAATGCAGGCGCTCCGAACGGTCTTCCTGCGGCCCAGGTGGATGGGCCAAGCGACGTTGTCGACCACGGGTTGCTGCAGGATGCTGATGGCTCTGGCCCGGCCGGAATGAACCGTCACGAAATTGACAACCATCTTCATGCCTTAATTGCTGCGCGAGCTAAGCAGATGGAGGGCGGTGGATTGATGCTTCCCCTCGAACAAGCGACCAGCCAACGCAGCCTTCCCGCCAAGAAGCGCATGGCCGCAGCGACTGCGCAGTTTGACGGGCCGGACGATGACATCAAAGATGAGGATCTCGACGAGGATGCTATTAACTCTGATCTCGATGATCCAGATGAGGACCAGGAAGAGGACGAGGACGAGGACGAGACGATGGGCCATATGATGCTCTGCATGTATGACAAGGTGCAGCGCGTCAAGAACAAGTGGTACGTATCTACACTGGGTTGCTTCTCAAGTAGATGAATAACAGGCACTAATATACTTCCGCAGGAAGTGCGTCCTCAAGGACGGCGTCCTTACCGTCAACGGCAAGGAATACGTCTTCCACAAGGCCACGGGCGAGTATGAGTGGTAAACCCACTTTATATTACAACCCGCCCGCCCCAGTACCGCATTTGGCGACCGAGCAGCGTAGCCATACTACACAATACCAGGTTGGCAAGTCATACCTGCCATGATCTTACCCTGGCATTGCAGACCAAGAAACTTCTCAACGTCTCCCTTCACCCACGAGTAAACCGCGACGCGGCCTAATTGGAAAAGGCAAACGCTATTTGCTTTGCTGTCGACTCATCATGGAATGCCTGACTCCTCGGGGCGGACTCAAAGCTTAATGAGGATCCAGAATCGATGCTTCCAACTGCCGTTTTTTATCCTTAGGCCTCTCCGCCAGTTTTTCTTCCCATTTCCACTGCGCAAAGTCAGGGTGCATGCTTCCAAGCCGGAAACGGTCCTTGCCCGTGATTGAACCAACGGCCGGTTGGCGCGCGATTTGATTCATTTTTCCTTTTCCTTATCAGTTCGGGAGTTGAGAGACGAACCAAGGCTTTGTTTCAGGGGGACTGAGATATGTAGTCCATTGTATGATACGTCCAAAAACACACAGGTCATGAGACGGGGACGGGAGGAATAACACGGAAGAGTCGGTGCATCTAGCACCGGAATGACTGATGGGATTGAACTGACTTAGTTACTAAATCCGCCCTGGGTGTTATAGGTGGACACAAAGTCAGTATGGCAGCGATAACTGAATATCCACGAGAAATCTCAGCGCAATGACTGACTGATCGTCCGCGAAATGATTGTACTAAGTGGCAATGCGCAATGAATGTTGCCGTGTGATGATTTTTCGTAAGGGGTTACAACGATACACATATGAGATGCACTGATACAGTCCAGGGCTTTCCACATATACTGCTACTTCAACCAAACGCTACTATAAAGATCCTATCGCTACACAGGGCATTAAGTTGACTAAAATGAGAGCGAAAAGGCTAGGACCCCTGGCGGCTATGTGAAGCAATGCAACCATGATCGTCGAGAAAGACACCATGTATTTCGAGCAGCGAGATTGATCCGAGCAATTGATATCAACAAGCCCATGCAACGGCGCGACATGACGCTTTGCGCTGAAGAAACTCCAAGAACGCCTCAGGGATTTGCTTTTCCCACCCCTTCCTCGATCCATCCATCTCTTCCCTTGCGGCAAGCACCATATGGAGTGTATAGACGTAGCAAAATCAGGCCCCTAGCCCCTCCACCTCCAGGTTACTCCACAACAGTAACACCCCGTCCAAAGCCCATGGAATATTGGCGCCTTTGAAGTGTCATGACGCTACTCAAATGGAACGACGGAGCAAAGGCGTGTGTCCTCCCAAAAAAGAAAAAAGGTCGTCGGTTTGCTCTGTGACGTTAAATGAGGTCGTCACGGCAGGCTAGTAAGAATTGCGTAAGTCACGGGTAGATTCGCCTCTGGTCGCCCTCTCGGCATGCTAGCGCCACACATATAGGGCGGTAGATCTAGGCGCCTCAGGGTAGCGTGAGCCGTCGTCGGCAGATAGGGTCCAGCCTTCCCTAGGAGTAAAACTGCGACTTCTGGAAGCTCTCGGCCGTCACGTCACCGACCTTAGTCAAGGGCAGGGGAGGGGGATTGTTATTGTTGTTGTTGGCGACGGCAGCAGTGGCACCGGCAACGGTGGCGGGGGCGCTAACGGTGCTGGTCAACGAGTTTGCCCTGCTGCTGTCGCTGGCGGGGGTGTTTTTGATAGCGGCGAGGGGCTGGCCGGGCTTGCGCAGGACCTCGAGGAAGGTGGCGGGCAGGTAGCCGATGCGGCCGTCGCGGGCGCGGCACTTCCACCACTCGCTCGGGTTGCCGAGCGGGTCGCTCTTGCTCAGCACCGCCACCAGGTCGCCCTTGTGTACCTCGAGGTCGACCCCTTGCACGACGGCCTGGCCCTGGGCGGCGGGCGAGAAGTCGTACAGCACGCGGCAAAACTCGAGCTTGGACGGGTCCATGGCCTGCTGCTGCTGCGCCGCCACGAGCTGGCGCCGCCGCTCCTCCTCCTCGGCGTTGGCGGCGAGCGACCGGATCACCTTGCTCATGACGTAGGGCAGGCCGAAGGCGGCGAGCAGGAAGAAGAAAAGCGGCTTGCGGCTGGGTTTCGGTTGACCGCCGGCGGGGCCCTCGACGGGGCTGCGGCGGCCCTCGAAGCGGGCGAAGGCCGCGGGCGTCAGGGCTGTGGCGTCCACAGGCGGAGGTCTCCCGGTGAGCTTGGCGATCAGGGTCCGGATCCATCGCATGAGTGTGAAGATGCCAAGCACGGAGCCCAGGGTGTCGCGGAGGTTGCCAAATTGCTCGGCGACCGAAACCATGGCTACGGAAACGTTGTTAGTAGGGAGTTCGTTGGGTATCGCGGTCAGTGCTTTGGAAAAGTCGCTTCACTCACCAAAAAAACTTGAATGTGTCGCCATATATGTACTCTCCAGCATCTGGGCAAAGCCCCCAAAGGCGCCCACTATACCCTCCAGCATCTGAAAAGTTGCTTGAGTGCTCATGTTGAAGCGGTGTGTCAGACTGTCCGGGTTGTTTGGGTCGTTGGGCATGCCCGGCAACCCCCCGTACATCCCCCCTCCGTACATGCCCCCGTAACCACCGTAGTTGCCGTACATTCCGCCGCCATAACCCCCATAACCACCCATTCTCGCATAGGGCGATGCGTAGGGTGACGAGTATGCTGAGGTGTATGTCCCGTATGGCGGGGCGCCGTATGGTCTACTGTAGGCGGCCGCGTTCTGGTTGACTGCGGCAGTGAGGGAGGCGGGCCGCGCGGGTATTGCTGGCGTTGTGGAGGAGGTCGTCGTGGTCGCGGTCGCAGCCGTCGCCGGCGCGGTCATTGTGTTTGGTGTTGCGGCCGATGTGGTCGATGCTTGTGGTACGGACGAAGTGAGCGTCGCTTAGGTGCGCGTCAGCAGCCGGCAGTGCCATGACAACAAAGAACGACAACATACCAGATGTAGCCGGGATTGTGCCCGATCGCTCCCACGGTTTTGGCGGCGACGCCATAGCCTTGACTAGAACGCCCTTCCGTGTTCCAATCGCCGCCGGTCTCCGTGTGTCGAGGAAATGTTCCAGTCGTGATGATAGAGACACGGGCGTTTCGCTGTGGCAACTGCTTAGATGTCGACGACAGGCCGACAAGAGTCAAATGCACAGTCTGCAGACAGCACTAATGTGAGCCGCGCGTCAGGTAACGATTGAGTGTGCGCCGCGACAATGAGGGAAATGGCGACTTGTCCTGCTTGCAGCCTTTTTTGGCGGACCAGGACAGTCTTAGGTGATTTTCACACTTTTGGTTGTTGTGCCCGTGGTGAGAGATGGATGATCAACGAGGCAGGTGCGCAGATGGAGAAAATGCCAAGAAAGCGGGCGACTTGTTCGGCTTGTGAGCCTCGGTAATTTTGGGCCTCGAGCCTCGACTTGCCGAATACTGGGGCAACCCCGGTAGCTATGACATAGGTGCAGGGGCCATTTGTGGTGGGGATTCAGACTTCTTCAAGTTGAATTGCTTGCACCGGGTACTCCGTACCTCGATGGAAATTACAGGTGCCAGCATTCATGGCGCTCGATTCTAGCATCTAACACCTCTTGACTGTCTCAAGTTAGGTACCCTTCGAAGTTCCCAATTCCGATAGTGGCACGCTCAGAGTTCATCATGACCGGACTCCTCGTTCTTCCCTGTTCCAGCACCACCGCTATATAGTTTGCTGGTGATTGGGTATGCGACATTGGACAAGCGCTCCCTCTGTTCCTCAAAGTCTTGGGCCGTGGCCGTTGCCGAATGTTGGTCAAGCCAGCTCGTCGCTTCTGCGATGGCATCCCGGAGCTATAACGAAGTTGTCAGCATCAACTCATGATTTGGAACCCGCCGTCTGCCCGAGAGAGCAACTTGGACTCACAGCCTCTTTGTCATCATCGCTGATCTTCTCGCCAAGGCCTTCCTTGTTCTCGAGCTGGTTTCTAAGGTTAATGGCATAGTTCTCAAACTTATCCCGCGCCTCGATACGTTCGCGGGCCTCCTTGTCCTCCTCTGCAAACTTCTCGGCCTCCGCAATCATGCGTTCAATTTCGGCCTTGCTCAAGCGGCCACCCTCGTTCTTGATGGTCACCGACTCTTTCCGCCCGGTGCCCTTGTCCTGCGCCGAGACCTGCAAGATGCCGTTGGCGTCAAGCGCAAACGTGACCTCGATCGACGGGACCCCGCGCCGTGCCGGGGGTATACCCGTGAGCTCGAACCTGCCCAGGAGGCTGTTGTCCTTGGTCAGGGTGCGCTCGCCTTCATATACCTTGATCACGACGCTGTCTTGGTTATCTGAGGGAAAAGCATTAGCAACGGATCAAAAACATCTTGACTGAAAGTTACTTGCCTTCGGTTGTGGAGAAGATTCGAGACCGGGTCTGTCGGACAATACATCAGCTTGAATATCCCCCAGGTACAAAGGCTCGGGTCACCAACCGTTGGGATCTGGGTGTTACGGGGAATCAGTTGCGCCTTGCGAGCAGTTATGTCAGCGCTTGAGACTTCTAGTGAACCGGAGGGTCTATGCCCCTTGAACGCAGAAGAATCACCTACCATGACGCCTCCTACCGTCTCAATCCCAAGGGTAAGGGGATTCACGTCCATGAGCAACAAAGCCCCGGTGCCCTGAGCCACAGGGTTAGCAAGGTTTCCTCCTAAGGGCCATTTATGGCTAGGTCGTCCTCACCTCTTCCCCCGAGAGAATCTACCGAGAAGGAGGTGTTAGTTTTTCTACCAAGGTCAAGTAATAGGTTTTAGTTGAGGTTTCACTCACCCCTGCCTGAACGGCCGCACCAAACGCCACAGCTTCGTCAGGATTGATACCTCCGCTAGCCTTCTTTCCAAAGAACTCCTCGACCAGGCTCTGGATCTTGGGGATCCGTGTCGACCCGCCCACCAAAACAATGTCGGTCACGTCCGCCTTGCTCATTTTGGCATCCTTGAGCACCTGCTCGACGGGCTTAAGCGTCTTCTTGAACAGATCCATGTTCAGCTGCTCAAACTTGGCCCTGGTCAGCGTCTCGGAGAAGTCAATTCCGTTGAAGAGGCTGTCGATCTCGATCCGGGTAGACGATTGTGACGAGAGGGTCCGCTTGGCCTTCTCGGCTTCGCGCTTCAGCTTGCCCATGGCCTTGGTGTCCTTGGTCAAGTCGAGCTGGTGCTTGTTCTTGAAGGCTGTGGCGAGGTGCTTGATAATCCTGTTGTCGAAATCCTCGCCGCCGAGCCGCGTGTCGCCCGCCGTGGCAAGCACCTCAAAGGTACCGCCGTCGAGCGTCAGCAGGGAAACGTCAAAGGTTCCGCCGCCGAGATCGTAGACGAGGACTTGGTGTTCGCCTTCCATCTGTGCGGGCCAGAGTCAGTCTGCGGATTCTCGACAAAGCGGTTTTAGGGGTCGATTTCCCACCTTGTCGATGCCATATGCGAGAGCCGCTGCTGTGGGTTCGTTAACCACACGAACGACATTGAGACCGGCGATGATGCCCGAATCTTTTGTGGCTTGTCTCTGTTTGTCGTTGAAGTAGGCCGGAACCGTGATCACGGCATGTTTGACCTTTTCGCCCAGGTAGCGTTCGGCCGTGTCCTTCATCTTGCCGAGAACCATGGCGCTGATCTCCTCAGGGGTGAACTGCTTCGGCTTTCCTGAGACCTCGACCTCAACCACGGGCTTCCCACCTTTTCCTGCCGCAACCTTGAATGGCATGTGCTTGATGTCTTCTTGTACGCCTTTATCTGAGAAGCTTCGACCTATCAACCGCCTATGGGGACGCATATGTCAACGGACCACGTCCGTAACTCAAGGCCAGTGGAAGGGCGGTGGGAGGGTTACTGACTTGATGTCAAAGATGGTATTTTTTGGGTTGCTCGCATATTGGTTCTTTGCAGCGTCGCCTATAACGCCGTTAGCTCGACTGCTAACCAGTATCTTACCTAGAATCATGAAGGGGTGCAAGAGAAGTGACCAACCAACGAGGCGCTCCCCATCTGAAAATGCCACATAGCTGGGTGTTATCCTGTTCCCTGTTGTCAAGTTAGAGTCTGACGAGGAACCAAGCATGAACATCAGTGCCAAGATATACCTTGGTCGTTTACTAAGATGTCCACCTTCCCCCCCTTCATGATACCGACGCACGAGTATGTTGTCCCGAGGTCGATACCGATGATGGGCTCTCCAGGTTGTGGTTCGGTCATGTCGACCGTGGAGGCCCCAAGAGCCGGGACCGCGGCGAGAGGACACAAAAGTAGAAGGAAGAAGAGGAGAATTCCAACTCCCAGGGGCAGCTGTCTGCTGGTAGGCGCCCGTCTCTCCATGCTGCTGCAGGGGTATGACCGTGACTCGGACTGATTAAAGCAGTACCGTCTTAAGAGATGTGAGGGGTGTAGTAAGTACTAGTAAGATACAAGCAACCATGAACAACGACAACTGCTTAGCCAACAACTACCTTGATAAGCAGTGCTGCTTGCGATGCGACGTGCTTTTATGGGGATGTGATGGTCCCTCGTCTGCTTGGAACAGAGTGTCCAGAAGAACAGTATCATGGCTCAACCTGGAAGCCCAGGACAGCACTACATATCTAACTCGAACCCACACAGGCTCCCGAGAAATTACTGGACAGGCACAGAAAGAACACATCTCAGGAGTCAAGACCATGTGGCCCGACCATGGACAGTGTATACCTACCGCCGGCCTGAAATTGGAGCCTACTACTAAGCTTAGCCATTGACGCCACTCGAAGCCTCACACCTGGTAGTTATCTGTCTTAACGATTATCTCTGCCTGTACCGTGCACTTGGACTAAACAGCGTAAGAATAGAAACCAGAAGGATCGATAAGCATCCCCGTGGCGTGGTACCTCAGTGTAGGTTGGGCTGCAGATGACTCGAAATCGGTTTGACTTGAAAGCTGAAACGGGAGTCATCACAGCAACTCGAGCGCAAACGACAGGGTGTCAAGATTGAGAATTTCCTCCTTTAACGTCTCCTCGAGGGTCTAATACATTTACGGGTCCATGGCGGTGCGGTGAGTCATGCCATCTGATCTCGCAACGTGTTCCCTTCAGTCTTCGCATCACTCCAAGAGGAAGATCCCACTGATCTCACTGTGTTGATGGAAATCAGGACAACCCTAGAGGCGCAGGCGCCAACACAAAACTCGTTGCCGCATTCCTGGATGTCCAACTCAGGAGTCAGGTGCCGCAGATTAGGGGTTCAATCGGGGCTGCGGCACGGCTGGACCCTGGCGGCGCAGTCTCAAAAACAACTCCGGAAGACTTCCCATTCTTGAGTCCTCTCACAAGGTCTCACCAACATCAAGACCATACGGAAGTTGTTGACGTCTGATTAATATTAATGATTTATCTATGCTTCTCAATGGCTCGCTCAGTCATCCCGAGCCCCTTCTAAGCCGGGGCCCTCATACCGTCATGCAGGATGCACATTGCCGATTTTTCTTGCCAACGCCGAACCATCCAACAAAAAAAATCCATTACTCCGTCAAGACCCCGTTTAACATCCACACCACCACTTACTCGAGCCCTTAATCCCTCCTCTCCCAGTAAATATTAGCCGGCTCCAGCGGGCGAGAAAAGAGCGAGGCATAGTCGGTCCCAATGACCTTGTCGCTCCCGTCGACGTTGCGGAACTTGAACATGCGCACCACCATAGCCACAATGGTCTGCAGCTGGACATTGGCGAACTGCTCGCCGATGCAGCGGTGCCTGCCGGCCCCAAAGGGGATGTAAGGCGAGCCGGCGCCCTTGCTGACCAGGCCGTAGCCGTAGTCAATCTTCTCCTCCTCCTCCTCGGCCGTCTCGTTGCGCACGATCGTGGGCGCCAGCGGCGACTCCTTGTCCCATCGGCGCGGCTCCCACAAGTCCGGCTCCGGGAAGTACTGCGGGTCCGACGCCGACACGCCCGGCGCCGCCAGCAGCACGTGGTTGGTCGGGATCACGTACTTGGTCCCCGGCACAGGCATGGGCTGCTTGACGGCGCGCATGATGGAATGGATGGGCGCGTGCAGGCGGAGGGTCTCCTTGACGATGGCCTGATTGAGCGGCAGCTTGGCCAGGTCCTCGTACGTGAGGGGTGGAAGATCGGCGCCGAGGTTCTGGATCTGCTCCTGGTACAGCGCCTCCATGATGTCCGGGCGGGAAGCCAGCCGGAGCATGATCCAGGAGCTGGTCGACGACGACGAGTGCTGGCCCGCCATCAGCAGCGCAATCATCATGTGCGCCACCTCGTGATCCGGCACCTTGACGCCGTTCTTGTACGTCGAGTTCATCAGATGCCACATGATGTCCTGCGAGTTCGTCTCGCCTCGCGCACGGCGCGCCTTGATCGTGTCCATGTAAATCTTGGCGACGGTCCGCTGCGCGTGGTCCCGGCGGCGATTCCAGGGCAGTGGCGCCCAGTGCAGCATAAAGTTGATGGGCGAGAATCCCATGTCCAGGTCATGATACAGGTCGGCGAGCGTCTCGTCAAACTTGTCGCGGATTTCCTTGCCCTGGAGCGCGTGCGAAGCGGTGAAGATGGTGATTTGCGCCATCTTGGGCGGGATGTTGACAATGCCAGACTTGCCCTTGAAATCGGGCGATCTCTTGAAGTAGCTCGTGACCTCGTCCGAGATGATGGGAACGTACGACCGGAACGCTTCCGTGGTAAGCGCAATCTTCATGAACTGCGGGAACGCCCCAGTTAGTCGCCTGGTTCTATTTTCAACTCTTTAAGACGCAGCTGGTAAGAACCTTCTTCTGCTCCATGAGCTTGGAGTTGGGGCAGTCGTAGACCACATCTTTGCCGAAAACAGGCGTCGTCAGGACGGTGTAGATCTCTTCGGCGCAAACGTCTTTGATCTTGCCGTTCAGAATGAAATCGTTACCCTGGGTCCCGACATAGACAGTCGTCTTCTTTCCGAGCAGAATAAAGGTGAAGCAGTCGCCGTACTGCGGCTCGCGTTAGCATGTTATACGCCAGTTTTGGGCGCAAACGCGGCTCCATTCGCTCACTTTTGCCCTGTTCTCCTTGAAGAAGCGGGGAGGGTCCATGCCATAGGTGATGGTGCTGCCGATGAACGGGAGCCAGTGGAAGACGACAGGCGGCTCATTGGGATTCCGGAAGAGAGCCTGCTGCAGAACGTTGAGGAAGACGGCAAGGGACAGAAAACCAACAAACCCAACACCGATTTGCGATGCTAGGCTGAGCCGCGAGAACCCCTCGGCCAGGGGGCTCGAGAAGTCTTGAAGGAAGCCCATGCTCAGGCTGAGGGACGAAACAGTAGGGGAAATAAAGAACCAAGACTTCCTGGTCAAAGATCGAGTACGCGACGCAAAGCAAAACCCAGGTGTTGGGAAGCGATATCCCGATTATAAAAGGAGCGATGGAGGTTCCTGCATTTTCACTGCCCGCCACTAGCATCCAGGGGAAAATACAATTGACGAACCATTTCTTGAACAATCTCCATTTTCCGTCCAATCAGGGGCCACGCTCGTATTCGGATTCGCAAACAAACTTCCAGGTACCCGTACTGTGTGTTGTACTGTACAGTACGGAGGTACTGCACCAGATCATGCCACGATAACACGCGATTAACGAACCACTGCGATTCCCGGGTCAAAGAACACCAAAACTTCAAGTTGAGGAGACCACTTTTTGCTACTCGGCGAAGACCTGACCTGATTGCACAATTATCTTGTGTTGGAAATCGATCTTGATACCTAGCAGCTGCGAACCATTTCTCTGATCTGGGACAAGGACCCCTGATGCACGATTTACGTTAACAATAAAAACCGATAGGAGCCGTGCAAACAATGTACTTGTATGAACTGTACGCACCTCGGTGGCTTCAATTACAACACTTCTGCAACCTGCCACAAGCCACAACAGCACTCACTCAGGTTCCTAAGGTTACCTTAGGCTCAAGTGTATGTACATACTTTGATGCACCCAAGCCTCGACAAACAGCTGTTACTTGAAGGTATCATAACGCCTGTTCAAGCAAGCCCGGAGAAACCCGGTTGACTTGCACGCCAAATCAGTTGTACTGTATCCGTATGCGCAGTATATACGGACTAGCGGAGTTGGCTCGCTAACGCTCGCCCGTTGATTTGGGAGATTTTTCAAGCCAACCACCTCATCGACGATTGTATTAT